ATAGGGCCTGCCCTGCTGCCCCCTGATCACGTGGGTGGCCCTCCTCTGGACCCTCTCCATGTTGTCCACATCCCTCCTGAAGTGCGGTGCCCAGAACTGGATGCAGTACTCCAGCTGCAGCCTGACCAGTGTTGCATAGAGGGGGAGGATCACCTCTTTGGGCCTGCTTGAGATGCATCTGTGGATGCATGACAAGGTGCGGTTGGCCTTCCTGACTGCATCCCCACACTGCCGGCCCCTGTTCATCTTGGCACCCTATGCTAAACTTAGTCACAGCAGGGACTACAGAATTTGCCTAGATGGCTATTGCTTGATATGTGCCCGGGTTGACTGCTTTTTCCTGGTAGAGCATGAAAATGCTTTCTGAAGGAGTAAGTGTCAGCATACCTGTATTATTTTGTATAAATAAAGTCATATGTATTTGCCTTTGCAGGTTTTAGTGCCTAGATATATTAGATACGTTGAATTAAATCTTACTGCATATTCATTTATAAAACTAAATTAAATAAGAGATTGATTAATTTTTCCTTATGTTTACAGCAACTGGCAAAAAATTGCAGACTACCTGTCAGCAGATGTTGTAGCTTTAGATGATCTAAAAAATGTTATTGACTCAAAAGAGCTGTGGAGGGGGAAGGTTCAGATATGGGAAAGAAAGGTAAATAGCTGTTTCTATTTGTGATCAACTTTTCTAGGACACTATAATTGTTGTACAATACAAATTGTGTCATAAAGTCTTAATCAAAATGCTTTCAGCTGGATTTCTTTTAACAATCTAGTTGGATGGAAAACAATTAAAAATAATTATTTTTTCTGATTAAAAATGTGAGTTAGTTTAAAATATAACTAAACTGTAAAGTTTTATGCTTTCAGTATCTTAAGTATGGATTTAAGAATCTAACTTTAATCGTCAATTTTTTACAGCCTTTTTGTTTAGTAGTTAAAATGAACCAAAAAACCCAAAAAATAATTTGTTGTCCGGTCCAAGTCCTTTCCTTCTTTCTGTGCTACTTTGTGGGGCTTATCTAAATGGTCTAATATAGCACTTCTGAACAGATCAGGAACTGTTCAGCTGTAGAAGAAAATGAATATGTTTTTCAGTGTCAGGTATCTTGGATGTTGTTACAGTTAAAATTTATCACGCTTAAAGCATGACACTTTCAGTAGTCAGTGGCACACAAGAAACCAATGTTGCTAGCATTGCATTTTGTGTTGGCGTGAGCAAAATATGGCCTGCGGGATCTTGCTGTTTAAAACTCATTTGGATCTGGCCTATGGGTGGCTGGCAGCTCTGGCCACCACATGGTGCTGGGTGGGTGGGACTGCTTCCACCCAGCAGCATCAGCCCTCAATACAGTGGCATCAGCTGTAAACCTGGGCCGGACTTCTGCTGCAGCAGCCGGGTGGCAGCATCACCTGTGGACTCCACCAGCAGATTCAGGAGCCCTGACACAGAACCTGCTGATGGTGTCCACAGCTAACTCCACTTCCCTCCCAGCACAGTGGAAGCTCCCGCCTGGAGCCCTGACCTGGAACTTGTTTGCAGTGTCAGCTGTGCACCCAGGCAGGAGCTTCTGCCATGCTGGGCAGGCGTCAGCGTCAGCTGCGATGCTGCCGGTAGATTCCACATTGGGGCTCCAGAACCTGCTAGCTGCGACCACAGCTGACGCTGCTGCCTGCCTGCTCCAGTGGAAGCCCCTGTCTGGGTCCACAGCTGAGCTTCAGCACTCCTGTCGAACTACAGCTCCTGCCAGGTTCTGGAGGGTGGGAGAGAAGCAGAGAGAGAGCTGGATGTGGCCTTCATCAGCTCCCCAAAACTTATTAAGTGGCCCTACAGCCGCAATAATTGCTCACTCCTGATCTAGCTGCATTTGACTACCCAATCTGAATGACCAAATACCAACTTATAGCTGGGTTGACTGGGGATAGCCTTGCACACAAACTTGGTGGGATGCCTAACCCTGTGCCTCTGGACCCATAGTGCAGTACATTAACTGGTCTGCCACTGTACCCTTGGTGCAGAATTCCTGATATTCTTGCCAAGTTATTCAGTTCTGTTGGCATCAGCCTGAATACAGGCATATTCTTTAAAAGTAATGGTCTGTCAGAGTGCAGAGAAATGGGTCCTTTGTTAAAATGAGGCATTATTAAAATAATGCTTTGTTTTGTATCATTTTGCCTGTTATCTAATAGCTGCATTAAGAACTGGAGCCTAATTCATTCTCCCTGGCCTTTTCTAATATACTTTCTTTTTTTTTTTTAGTTTGGATCTGAAGTTAGGTTTCCAGAGTTTTGCATAAAGGGTGTCTCAGCAAAGCCATTCAGCACTTCTCATTTAAATACTTGCTTTGCTGCCAAGAAAACAACAGACTCAAAGGATAGCAATATTTTGCCAGAGGTAAAACCTGTGTTTGATCTTTCTTTGAACCACTACAGTTTAAAATTTTTACTTTTGTGAGAAAGTTAATAATGAGGGAAATGGTACTTAGGATTCAGAAATGAATGTAGAAGTAATAATGTACAGGCTTGTTTTGTTCCTATTTTTATCTAGATATTGTTAGCGACATTTGGTTTAATTACAAGTTCTCTAAAATGAGATAGTATATATTCACAGCAGAAGTGGCAAGATGGTTCTGATTTTTAGTGTTCAGAGAATTCAGTGTTCAGTAAATCCATTGCTGTAACATGCACACTGTCTCTATTTACATTTTCTGGTAAATTAGAGTTAATTTTAGAAGTAGAATTTGGAATTAGAATTTTCCCTGCAGTGGATATTGGTCTCTATTATTGGTCCCAAAATATATATTTTCTGGTGCAGCAAAGATTTTAAAATATATGATTAACTGGTAAGTTGTAATCATGACAGAGCTATAAAATTGTTTGGTCTGCCCTTGGATAATTTTTGTTTGTTGTTTTTGAGGGAAGATGTGATGAGTGGTCTTGTATATTTGAGATGGGCTAGGATGCGTAATAGATGAAACCTACTAGACACCAGGATACCATATTTACCTGCATAACAAATGCACCTTTCCCCCCCAAAAAAGGCCTTTCCGACCTCCCCCCCCCCCCCC